CCCCTAATCTAATGCCCCCCATGCCCCCCCCAGCTGCCGGCGAAGGGCTTCCTGGTGACGTCACTGCCGCTGAAGGTGGCGGGGGGCAGCGGCTCCCCCGTGCGGGTCATCGCTGAGGTGGGGGGCAGCACCGCCCCCCCGTACAGCCCCCCTAACCCCAGCACTGCACCCCTCACCACCCACCTCCCACTTCCCCTCTACCTGCTGCCCGTGCTGGGGTTGCGGTACCTGAGGGTCACCTAATTAGTTTATAACAGCTAATTAGGTTATGGTTACTAATTAGCTAGTGGTATCTAATGAGGTTATACCTTATTAGTTGATAGTTGATGGTACCTATTAGGTTATGGTTCCTAATTAGGTTATGTACCTAATCAACTTGTGGTATCTAACTAGGGGTACCTATTAGGTTATGGTTCTTAATTAGGTTATGAACCTAATTAACTTGAGGAGCCTAACTAGGATGATGGTGGAGGGCATGCAGAAGGTTAAGTAAAGTAGCTAGCTTGTTAAGTGCACTGAAGTTATGGATTATAACTTCAATTAATTATATTTAAATGTAAATACAAACTGTAGCTTTGACAAACTTGCGATCAGAAGGCGGCGGCAGTGGCAGTAGGGATAGTGGCATTAGTGGCAGTAGCAGTGGCACTGACACGACTCTTAATATCAGTAGTGACAGTAACGCAAATGATAGTGGCAATAGTGGCAGTGGCAGTAGTGGCAGTAGCAGTGGCAATAGTGGCAGTAGCAGTGGCAATAGTGGCAGTGGCATATGAAGTAGTGGCATTAATTGTAGCGTCAGTGGCAGTGGCATTATCGGTAGTATCAACCATGGTACTGTCATTAGTGGATACACTTTACCTTAGCTCTCTCTAGTGCTATTCCTACCAACACTTTACCTTAGCCATCTCTAGTGCTATTCCTACCAACACTTTACCTTAGCTCTCTCTAGTGCTATTCCTACCAACACTTTACCTTAGCCATCTCTAGTGCTATTCCTACCTACACTCACCTTAGCCATCTCTAGTGCTATTCCTACTTACACTTTAGTTTAGCTCTCTAGTGCTATTCCTACCGAGACTTCACGTTAGTTCTCTCTAGTGTTATTCCTACCGAGACTTCATTTTAGCTCTCTCTAGTGCTATTCCTACCAAGACTTCATCTTAGCTCTCTCTAGTGCTATTCGTACCGAGACTTCATTTTAGCTCTCTTTAGTGCTATTCCTACCTACAATTTAGTTTAGCCCTCTCTAGTGCTGTTTCTACCGAGACCTCACGTTAGCTCTCTCTAGTGCTATTCCTACCAAGACTTCACATCAGCTGCATCAGCCCAGTGAAGTCTTTCGTTGGTCTCCGTACGTAAGATTTTTCTGTCTTCGTCGCACGTCAAAGGCTCGCCGCGTTCAATTTGATTTTCACATTCCGTTTGTTAACATAAACACAGCAGTCGCTGCCATTAGACATGCGTTTGCATTAGTTATTTGTATGTCATTGTAATTAAATATAATGCTATGACACGCTTGTCTTCTCATTTTCAATGCCAACGTGAACTTGAAGACTAATCAACTCATTTGTTTATTAGAGATTAATGAGATTAATGGGAACACAATCTTGGTACATGAGAACACTTTAATGACGTGAATCGTTAAATTAGTTTTCATGTGACTAAACCAGCAGGTTTAGTCACATGGCTTAACACGGCTTAACACGGCCGTGTTAACGGCCGTGGACATTAACGGAGCCTCACATTCACGACATTCACCAGATGCAAACGATCGGTCACTTGCAGGCTATATCAATCATACAGGGGCCGTATTATCAAAACTTCGTAAGTACGCAAAATCGACTTGCGAGTGGCGTAAGTGCTGACTTGATGACGTAACTGTAGAGGTGGTACTATCAAAACATTTGAGCGTGAAGATACGTAACGTAACTGTACGCCTGCTCGGAGATGTCGTAAGTGGAGTTCCGTACAAGTTTATAGTGTCTGTTGAAGCGATAGGAAACTATTGATTTACTAGCATGTAATAACACCTTGACTTGCGATAAAATTTTGTCAATAATCCGATATTTAGATTTAATACGTTTAAACCTGCAGTTGTTATGGTTTTCATACGTTAAAGCCTGAAGGTGTTGTGGTTTTTAAGCGTTTAAACCTGCACGTGTTTCGATTTTAATGCATTTAAACCTGCACTGGATTCAAAGTTAAAGGTTTAGCTCGTAAAAAATTTTAAATTTCTTCTTCATTCGGAAGCTATATGGCGATACGGGCCAAAATTCGCAGTGATCAAGGAATTTCTTCCAAACTACTGAACAGATTCGAACGAAATTTTTAATATAAATTCCTAACTACCGAACGGTGATTTTTAAGCTCGTGAAAATTTATTTGATTCGGAGTCATGTTTTGCACGTGTTGTGTACAAATCGTCAAACAAACGTATAATATTCTGACTTCGACTTCGCGGACTGCCGCCCCCCAATTGCCCCTTTCTTCCTCACCGCCCCCCCCCCAGATCTTTCCACCGCCTAGAGGGGGGCGATATCGCCCACTTTGGGAACCACTGGGTTAGTTTAATTGTGATAAAGTTGCATTGATATGTTTTGAAAATGTTTTATCATCAATAAATNCAAGTTTGAAGTTTTCTCAGCACGTCGAAATTCTAGTGAACAAGGCCAACAGACTGCTAGGTCTCATTAGGAGATCATTTGTGTACCTGGACTCTCAGACTATGAAGATGCTTTTTATGGGAGCGCAGCCGTGCACCACCAATTGTGTGCACCAATAAGCCCTGAATCGAACGCCTTGGATCTCTCAGGACATCCACCAATCAGCCGTGAACCACTCGGCTTTGTCTTCCTCCGGCCTTGCATAGAACCTGCCGTGCACCACCAGGCCGCGGATCGAATCTGACTTCCGGGCATCGCTAAATTACGTAATTTTGCGTTCACCACATCTGAGGTTAGGTAATAGGTTTCAGGTAGCATAGTTTTGTTCCAAAATTTATCGTCCTTCGACAAGTGGCCGTTCGACCAAGGGCTCAGGGCTGGTTCGCCCCATGGCCTAGATACGGACGGCTTGAAGTGTTGAAGGCTACGTTCCGGAAGGCAGGAATCATATTCATGAATCATGATGGTTTTTCACCCAGCGTGTGGTGGAGACTGGAGAGGTGGATCAGACTGCCAGCACATGTGGTGTAGGCTCCCAGCGTCGATGCGTTTAAGAACAGACTGGACAATGTTATGCGGGACCTTGTCAACAGTGTAGACGAGCTTCCGACCTTTATTAGAGATGATCAAAGGATCAGTGGTAGTCAGTGTGGACCAAGAAACGAGTAGGCCTACACGGCACAACAGAATCGGCAACAGGCTGTGGAAGCCTAACGTATGATGCCGAGATCGCTATGCTATAATGTATAATCCATATAGGCTATGAGCCTATGACACAATTTGACCTGTGCTCACCTGTCCAATCNAGGAAATTAGGAATGAACTGATTCTAAAAAAGCTCTGGTTTGCCAACTGTCAGACAATGCATGACTCAGTTGAGTGTTGACACTTGACAGAATAAATAATTTTGAAAATTTACAAAATTTTGATATACAAAATTTTGAAAAATACCTAATTTTTTTAATATTTGAAAATAAAATTAGAAATTCATTGTACATGTGTAACATCCAAGACACTGGATACTTGAAACTTCAGAAGTGTTGTCTTTAACAAGAAATTTTTAAACACATATAGTCAGTCAGATGGGGTAAGACAGGACCAAAATCACTAACAAGCCTGTAGTAGCATCTATTATAGGTAGATTCTACAGGCTTGTTTAGCCTTGTTAGTGATTTTTAATTATTCATGGTATAGACTATTATGACTATAGATGATCTATACCATGAATAACAAAAAAA